TTTCTATTATTGATTTATGCACCTTAATTTGACTGTCCAATATCCTTCTCGGTATCTTGGACGGATACAGAAGCCCAAAAAATAATTGGTTACATAAAAGACATGTTTTCAGTTCGGATAACCTCTAAAACAGTCGTAGTGGTCAATTATTAACGAGACAGACACCAGCCCGGAGCAAACCAGTAGTTCCTTCCCCCGAAAAAAAGACCAACTCTTTTTACAGAGGACGTCTCTCTCCCTGAAATGAATTCTACAGCACAATTCAGTGGGAAGGAGAACCATGACTTTATATGGGCCTTTCCGTGACCGTCCCCTTGCTTTAAACAATCCTTCATGTATTGAAGTAATCCTCAAACTTAACGAAAAAAAATGTTCACAGAAGAACTCGAAACACTAGCTTTCGACCGACGCTGGTTGGTTCTGTTCCCTTCCTATAATTCGTTTGATAAAACCCAGTCTTATGCCGAGGGATACTTAAACGGAATAAGTCATTATGGGGCATTGGAGCGGCGTGTGTATTTCCTCATCTTAGTATATGTCTCGGCCACGCCACGCGTGATGCATGCATTATGGAATGACATTGTCCTCAAGATAATCCGTTTTTTTTTTTTCGGTGAGTTTATCCAGATCCAGAGGTCACATGTGATTTAACGATGCTTATCTGCGCTCAGCATTCACAAGTGACTGGCTGCGTCGACTGATCTTCAACAGGGGTTAAATTGTCCACAGGCTAATTTGATTGGTAAAGCACAAGGAGGTGCGCTGTATCTGTGTGGACCGGGGTTTTATGTGAGATCAAGTTGCGTGCCTCGGCTCATTATATATTAGTTCTGCTTAGCTTTGTCATTTGAGTAGAATAGAGGTGGGTGTGCGGATGGATGGATGGATGCAAAGGTGAACGACGCGGCACGCAGCACTGATCTTGACAGTAAGGGTTTTCGTCTGTCACGGTGGACAGACCGTTGTGCAATTTTACACTTTAGAAAACCCGCAAATGTACGTCAGAGGTGGATATATTTTTCAAAGTTTCTTTTACTCCCTTTCATTCGAATCTTGCTTCCTGATCTTGGTTGGAAAACAGTGTAGAATCCACTCACGTGACTCCATTTTGCCTCTAGACATTTCGGTTTATTGGCCACCCATAACCATGTCATTAAGCGAAAATCTGATCCATTTCGCCCCTTGGCAGTGATTTCTTTGCGTATTTCAACCCTCTGGTGCTGCTTCCCCTATATATTTTACTGATTATCGTATGTCAAGCAGTAATTCAAATAGACACCGAAATCCATGAAAAAATTACCAAAATACTTTGACTCGTCTACCTTTGGGAAACTTTACTCATGTCAGGTCGCGAAATTGAATCAACAGGGAACACTATACAAAGCTCCTTTACATACAGCAGCAAGCTGTCTTTTGACCACACCTTCTCTCAGCCATTTCTTTTTTCACCTCCATAACAATTCAATGCTTGTGTATTTGCTGTTTTTTCAGTAGTTCTCTTTAGTCTTCGTACAAATACGACTATTTAAACTAAAATGTATGCAAATAATTTAGGTACTGTAATACTTTTAGGACAAAAACATTCAGTTATATAAACAAAATAATTGAGGATTTAAATGACCCAGGTGGAGGAGAATATACTTACTTAAAAACTTATTTGCTTTCGTGTTGGAATTGATTTAGCACCGTACGCTTCAAAAGCAAGTTTACAACCCCGCATAAACTAGCTCCCAAGAAGCGTACTACATCCTTCAGATAGCGAGTCAGGTGTTTTAGCGCCTACTATCATGAGCCCTAATTCGTATGATATGCTTATGCAGCCGGAAGTTTATCCCACTTTTCCTCTTTTAATTAGTTCAACAACCAACTGGCTCACGAAAGGGCGCTGCTTGAGCTGTTGGAGTTGGAACACGAAAGGGTGCAAGGTGAGGTCACTCAGGCCGAACGCAAGGGTTTGCCGCCGCCCGATCTGGTGAATCACCTGCGGCACTTGAAAGACCGTCTTGAGCAACAAACTGCGCTCATTGATGACCTCGAATATCAGTATTTGGAGGTACGTCACTCATTCTCTTTCTTACTCAACAAGAGTTATCCCTTGGGTATGACTGGCTGATGACGGCTAATAAGCCAGAAATGGCCATTCCGG